GGTTGCCAAACGTCCCTCAAAATGCGAGATTGTTTCGCATTTTCATGTTGAAAGATATGTTCCACATTAACATGTAATATGGAATCATTGTTGCAAACCTGTTCATAAGGGAGTTCGGTGGCTCCCAGTGTTGGGAATCTGTTTACAGAGTCCGTGGTCCCCTGGTTTGATCGTGAAATAAAAGTTCCGCATTAATTGATGCGGGTCATGTTTTTTCTTGCATTTTTCAAATCGGTTAATCTTTTTTTTTTTAAATTTCGCCTAAATTGTGTTAATCTCTATTTTTTACTGAGGTTCGTGAACGGCTGGAATTGGTGTCAAATTTTGCCTGTTTCTTTTACTTTCACAATGTCTATCGCTCACTAATTTTATAATCGATATTACCCCATGAAAAAGCAGTGAAACCACTAAGACACAAGGGGTTATATTGTGTGGAAAAATTAGGAACTGAAATATTAATAATGAGCGGGAAGAGTAAAGAGTAATCAGGAGGACAGTAGATAGCGATTGACGTTACATTTAAATTTTTGCAGATTAAAGATGGCTGGAAGAGTGTTCCACAAGCGAGAAGTGTGAGAATAGAAACTGTTAGCATATAATTTACGGCTATATCTTCATCAAGGAGCTCAAGGTAAATGGCATGGTCACCAGACTATACGCGGTAGCAATATTGCAAGCATGGACGAATGGTAGACATATAGATGTGTAAGATAGATTCTGGAAAGAAAGAGTGTCTCACACTATACAGTGAATCAACTTTCTTAGCAGCTGAAACAGCAATGGATTCAATATAAATTAATTAGCAAACTGCTGCGTGTGTAGAATACTGGTTACGAACCTGTTCATTTGGGATTCTATGCTTGAGAATCTGTTTTCAGAGTCCGTGGTACCTGATTCTGACAAGCTGCACCTCTCCTCTATCACGTAATGTCTCTTTTGTATCTTTGAGTTTGAGACAGCTGGCTTAGATTTTACGTTCAGCTAAAGATATTTTTGAAAAACTTATAAAATCTGACAGCAACAAATTCGAATTTCAGACTACATTTGACTCTGCTTCTATCGCACTCGGCTAAGTCAAGAAACTATAAAGAATTATATTTTCGCAGGCCTGATGATTTAGTTAATTAATTTTCTTCCTTCAATATTTCCGCTTCTTGATTCTTACCGGAAATAGGAACTTGAAAGAACGGAAATACCAGTTAAATCAATAAATATGAGAGAGGCTTGCTCCGTGGAGTTTTTTTTTATTATTCTGGATGAAGAATAAAAAAAATAGCATTCATTCAGAAGTAGAGACAATAAAACATGGAGACTGTCTCTGTATTTTGGAAAACGGTGGCGTAATGGATAGCGCATCGGACTGAGGAATCGGAGAGCCGAGTTCTAATTCCAATCGAATCTATTCACTTACGTGCTAATACCCTTGAGAAAGGTATGCATCCTCTACTTCTCACCCCTGCTATGCGTAAATAGCAGGACAGACCGGGTTGTATATCCTTGGATGGCAATTGGTCTACCGCAGAAAGAAATGGCAACCTACTGCGGGAAAAAAATCTGCCCCGTCAGTCATGTATCCAGAAAAGTAAAGAAGACCTGATTAGGTTTAGTGTATCATGACTTAAGAAGGAAAAAGTTATTTACTTGCTTAGTTCTACTGTTTCGACTACCATATATACCGTAAATACAAATGATTCCTAATCCTGTTTCCAGTTTGAACTTATGTATGTGAAGGAGACACGGTGGGGGTATATGGTGGTAAATAGCAGGGCAAACCGGATTCTATAGACTTGAATGGTAACTGGTCTATCTCAGAAAGAAATGGCAACCTAATGCGGGAAAAAACTGCCTCATCAGTCATGTATCGAAAGATACATGATCGCTTAAGCGGGTATTACGCATGGGACATAACTGAACTGAATAAATCTAATGATAAAGATCTTTTTCCAGAAAAGTGAAGAAGATCTGATTAGGTTTAGTGTATCATGAGTTAAGAAGCAAAAAAGTTATTTATTTGCTTGGTTCTACTGTTTTGACCAGCGTATCATGTGACCTTTGAAGACCTAATTTTGAAGCTAATTTGACTACAATAAATGCATATATAAGTTGGTCAACGATGTAGCCAGGGCCAGCAATAAAACGCTAATTTTATATGTCGTGTATGATGCGACCCCCTTAAAATTAGCTTGAAAATTAGGTCTTCAAAGTCGCATGATACGCGTGTATATAACGGTCATTGTTTTATTCGATAAATGTGAATTCATTTTCCCCCAGTGTGTCTTTAAATGGTAATTAAAATACTCATGAAAATCTCATGGTTTTCCTATTTGAATTCACTGATGAATTTACTTTTTAATTTAATGATTGAACACGCTCTTTGCGAATTCACTGACTATAACATGGTTAAATATTTGCGATTAAAAACTTAAACGAAATATTACACTAACTATTTTTTATAGAGTAGTTTCACAGTGGATGCTTGTATTTCACTAAGTCGGTCCTAAAAAGGTTCGACGTACAAAACGTTAGGAACTTGATATAATAGTTAATGATGCAATAATCTAGTTGTGGTGGTTGATACTTTAATGTCCGACACCGACTGACTCACCAACTCACTGAGCTCGCTGGCGACTGCTACTACTACTACTTATTATATGTGGGAGAGTCTATTAACTATAGAATAGGCGTGTTCCAGTATAACACTATTATACATATGAAAGCAGAACATTATTTAAAGAACTAAGAGGGTACAAATGAAAATATTAAGATTTGACAAATTTCTCTATTTTACTAAAGCTGGCTTTAAACACAGAAATCGTTTACTCTGTGTTGTGAAGCCCCACATCTTTCGGGTCACTATTCACTGCTCATAAGTAGTACCTCCACCTCATTACAGAGCTTGTGTATTCCATATATGTTAATTATTTAATCTACATATCACTACACTATGGTCTTTTTCTTACCTTCTTTTTATCCTTGAAACCAAACAGCATCTCTGGTATGTCTTTTCTGTTTTTCCTCACGCAATAGGCTATTACTTATGAGGTATACATACAGTGTATCGTACATACTAACCAAAAAACTAAAGGACATAATAATAATATGATTATTCTGTTTGTATCTACGATCGTTATGCTACCTAGGATAAGAGTGTGGTAGCTGTTCAGTACTGAGGATTTATAAATTGAAATCAGTGACGCTCTCTGACCTATATAATATGAAGCGGGTTAATACACACACACATACACACAAACACACATATATATATTAATGCATGTTTCATTAAATAATAATAGACAAATTTTGTCTATTTATTTTAAGTAAGTTCCTTTCATATTATCTGATAAGCTTAATAACATTATCATTAAAAGACGAAAGGAAATCACCATATTAATACATGTTTAAATCCGATCTAAGCTTTCGGCTTACATAAGCCATTATCAAAGATGACAATTACATTTCAATATATCAACCAATACACGGACGAAACGATAATAATAGTCAGTTTTTGTTGCATGAAAAATTTCAAAACAACGACCATCTCGTGTATACGAGACGCGGAAGCGAAAATTCACGTCGCAGCTCGTGACGTCACACATGACCACGCGAGAGTGAAAACAGGAAGTATTAAGTAAAGGAATCCGTTGGTATAAACCAATGGCTTCGGTTATCAATTATAGGCATTTAAGAATATTTGTGGAGATTTGGTAGTTTATTTAGTTCAGGTTAGGTTTCAACTGTTTTATGTATATAGCTTCAAGAATTTTTAGTTTTTGTTTATTGTTTTCATGTTTAAGTTTAGTTGTGTTGTCAACAAGGATTTTCCGGAATTGTGTACGCGGCCAAGCATGTTGTTTTAAATGCCTAAAAATGCTATATAGATATAGGGTTAGGTAAATGACTAGATATTAGCGACCGTATACGCGCATGCTTGCGGGCATACACTGATAAGCAAATAATTAATTAGCAAATTTAGCCAAGTAAGGGTAGACATAATAGTGCTCAATGTGATTTGACTGAGCTAAGAAATATATATTAATAAATACATATAGACCAAAGTTTGGTGTGCGACTCGAGTTTCATTAGTTACACAATATTACTTTAGTACTATTTTTGTGCTATTTTAATTTTGAACTATGAATCAGCGTCTAATCCATGAGCATCTGTATACTTTTTCTAAATAAACAATAAACTATATCTCGTGCTCGATGAGTTGGGTAACCAACGTAACTCGAGTCGCAAGCGTAAGTATATGTCTCTCTCTCTCTCTCTCTCTATATATATATATATATATATATATAATTTATTCGAAAATTATGACATAAGTATGTTATAAAATCACTACAAAAGTAGTCATTTTGTTTTAATACTTCTGGCGTCTTATCAATTGATGGTGTTGAATATAGATTTATAGTTCTATATTCAACACAATCACTTGATAAGACGTCAGAAGTGTTGAAACAAAATGGCTATTTTTGTAGTGATTTCATAACATATTTTATGTTGTAATTTTCGAATGAATAATTATATTGGCTTTGCTCTCTATTAAGCACTCTTTTAAGAATAGTATTTGTTGGTTACTGGAAATAACACCGTATCCAAAAAATCTAAATATATATATATATATATATATATATATATATATATATATATATATATAAATGTGAACATTGAAGTTAACACTTAGAGGCGTATGTTTCATGATAGACGCAATTGTCAGGCCACCAACGTCTAGCATGAAACAGACTGTCGCCTCTAAGTTCAATGTTCACTTTTATATTTCCACACGCTCTATCTCTGTTATTGAGCACTTTATCTCATAAATATAGCACATCTTAAGACTATATTTCTTCATATCTCTCTCTCTCTCTCTATATATATATATATATATATATATATATATATATATATATATATATATATATATATTAAAAAGAGTATTCAGATTATCGGTTTCGTAAATCGAGGGACAGGATAAGGGTGGATACGAAAGAATAAAAAAGTTAAGAAATGTAAAGAAGAAACAAAAGATCAAACAAAAATATATAAATATGTACCAAAGAGAAAAGTAGGGAGACAAAAATTCGAATAGGAAAGCCATACTTGCCGATCAGGCGATAAACGAAAGAGTGAAAGACAGGCATTGTGGGTAAAGAATGAAAATTCGAATTGGAGAGCCTACTTGCTGTAACGAACATGCGCGGAAACGTCCTCGAACTGCGTGTGTGTTGTTGCCGGGCACACCATAATGGACTCGACCGAGGACTATAAGAAGATGCGCGAGTCGTTTGGCCTCTTTTCTTGGGCGACAAAAGCCGTTGCGGTCGGTCGTCCGTCGGCAGCAGTCTTGGGTGCCGTTTTGCTCGTTGGCTGTCGTAAAGTGTTGTGTCGCAAGTAGGCGTTCGTTTTGTGTCGCATTCGTTTCCGGTTCGCAAAAAGGCGTTCGTTGTTGTGTAGCAAGTAGGCGTTCGTTTTTGTGTCTCAAGAAGGCGTTCGTTTTTTGTGTCGCAATAAGATTTTTTTTTCTCACACAAGCTATTTCGGCATTATGGCCTTCGACCTGAAGCTGATACCACTGTTCGACGGAAGCGATTCTGGACAGTCGGTAGTGGAATGGTTGGAGAAGGCGGAACTAATATGTCAGTTGAGCGGTGTGAAGCGAATTGAGTGTGTTATTCCGATGCGTTTGGTAGGTGGCGCATATGCTGTGTACAAGCAATTGAGTGAGGAGAAGCGCACAGACTTCAATTGCGTTAAGAAAGCGTTATTCACAGCTTTCGCCTTAGATACCTTCTCTGCGTGGAAGCAGTTTGCAGCACGTCGCCTTCAGCCAGGGGAGACGGTCGACGTCTTTTTGACAGATCTGCACAGACTCGCGGTTCTGTTTGGTGGCGTATCGGAAAAGTGCTTGCAGTGTGCATTCGTTGCTGGATTGCCTGAGCATGCAGAGGAGCTTTTAAGAGTGTCATCCCAGATGGAAGACGTGGATTTGTCACATGTGCTGGCACGAGCTCGCGCTATTTTGAAGAAGTGCACTGGTCCTACGAAGCAGGCCGCAGTGGGTGCACAGTTGAAGGAAACAGATGTGCACACGAGGTGCTATAAATGCGATGGAGTCAATCATAGGGCGAGCGATTGTCTCCTGGGTCATGAACCATCCAAAGGTGCTGGTACTAAGCATCGACGGACCATCACTTGCTATCGATGTCATGGGCAAGGGCACATTGCTCGGTGTTGTCCGGGAAACGGGCAAGGGGTCGAGAGTTCAGCGCCAATCTCCTCCCCCAAAACTCTTGTAAATGGGGCATTGTCTGTAGTGACAGTTCGTATCAATGGAATACCGCGCCACATAAAAGATGTGCGACCAGCGTGCGGGAAGGATTATTCCGTCAGCAACCACGTTAGTTCTGATGATGATGATGAAGCCCCGATGGTTTATATAAAATCACAGGAAGAGCACACCTCAGAGAGTAGCGCGCCTGATGAACCTATGCGGGAGGAGCTCAGCGAGACGTCTGAAGAGAGCACCACTGGGGCAGCGTTTGAGACCATACCACTGGGACGGAGTACTAGGCAGAAACGGGCTGCCCCACATTGCCATTTGTGTGATCTAGAGATCAGGGAGGAGTGTAACGAGTATGCGCGGAAACGTCCTCGAACTGCGTGTGTGTGTTGTCGCCGGGTACACCTTGGAGTACCATAATGGACTCGACCGAGGACTGTAAGAAGAAGATGCGCAAGTCGTTTGACGTCTTTTCTTGGGCGACAAAAGCCGTTGTGGTCGGTCGTCCGTCGGCAGCAGTCTTGGATGCCGTTTTGCTCGTTGGCTGTCGTAAAGTGTTGTGTCGCAAGTAGGCGTTCGTTTTTGTGTCGCAAGTAGGCGTTCGTTTTTGTGTCTCAAGTAGGCGTTCGTTTTTTGTGTCGCATGAAGTTGTTTTTTGTTTTGTTTTGTTTTTTTGTTTTTTTTCTCGCACACTTGCCGGTCAGGTGAAAGGAGTGAAAATTGCAGTACACTAACCTTAGATCAAGAGAAAGATAAAAGAGAGACTACAGTAGAAGATATTTGTGAATTCTTTTGGAGTATATAAATGTATTTTTTTCTTACGAAAACGTAATTTCGAAATTTTAGAAAAAGCGTTTTAAGTCGTAAAGTTATTTTTATTTGTTTCCTTTTTTAACTGCTGGTTCAGTCTTGAATTTCTCCATTTATTATTTATCGTTCAAATATTTTTAGCAACAATAATAAAAATATTCCCATATATTTAACGATAATTTTATATTTTTCAATCTTTTCTTATTTATTTATTCGTTTCCTACTATCGTTAAAGCAATTATAAGTCAAAATGCTAATTTGTAAACGAACTGTTCACTCCGATATCCAGTCTAAAATACATATGTCATGGCACGGGGTTTGCGAATCCCAGTGAACGAGGCCGTCTGTAGTTCCATCTCCTGTAGGGACACCCATGGCGGTAAGGTCGAGGAGGGTGGACCAGACAATACGACCAAACCCCGACAGCGGAACAGACAAAGATCTACACGACCCCAACAGCCAAGCCGGTGGAGGAAGGTAGTAACCAAGGCGGATCTTGACAGATGCAGCCAGGTTTCCAGATCTCCCCTAACTCAACCCCCTTTGAGCCGTGAAGGAATCGCTTCTGGCCAAATTGTGTGGGCTTGTTTGTCTCATAGATTTGTCTACCATAACCAAATTCCCGCGAATACGCTGGTCCTTCACAACTATCTCCGCAGCTGGCACCAGAAGGGAGAAATGGAACTAGGAAAGAAAATGACGATCTCGATGATCAGATACGAGCGAGTGCTGACAACTAATTTTTGTATAACATTTTAATATAAACAAGGATTGGCAAAAAGATCAGCTGGCAAAAGGGTAGAGAATGAGAATCAGTGTATGAGAAAGACAGATGAATGAGAAAAAAAAATGATGGAAAATACCCATTGCTTAGCATAAGAAGTTTGAGAGAGTTATATCCAGAAGGGAAACTGCAGATAGAGGAAGAAGAAAATCTGACCTATTCTTGAGATTTCGTGATTTTTGGTTGTTCATAACAGATATTTAGTGATTCCTGCTATAAATGTTTTCTCGACTTCTCTCCTTCAATCTCTGTCGCTATTTTTATATCCGTGCAAACCTTAATCGGAACATCTTTTCAACTCCTTCTTAAATGTTTCATTCAACTAACCTTGATTCTAGTGTTACTATTATGGGAACGACAATTAATCTAATGTTTCACAATTTTCGGAGTTCTAGGGAAATTCCATGGGATTTTTCCAATGTTTTAATTCGTTCACCTTCAATCGGCGATATGATCAGCTGAAAACTCATTACAATATCTCTATTTTTGCTTCGATCCCACGGAACTGTCAAAATACCAGCGTATCAATTTATATTTTCTTATTATTATTTAGCATATTATTATTATTATTATGATTATTATTGTTGTTGTTGTTATTCTTATTATCATTATTATTATTATTATTGTTATTATTATTATTGTCGTTATTATTATTGTTGTTGTTTTTGCTATTGACGTTATTGTTATTATTGACAGCAACAGTAGCTTACAGCTACAGATGTTTATGGCAGTTCACGTGATGTGAAATCTTATTCATAGCATGACATAGATAGATAGATAATGAGCAAACTGAAACAGATAAATAGATAGATAGATAGATAGATAGATAATGAGCAAGCTGAAACAGATAGATAGATAGATAGATAGATAGATAGATAGATAGATAGATAGCAAGAAGAAATAACATAGCTCTTCAGTTATGTTATGATGTCAATAATTCATCGGATCACTGATTCTTTTCCCTTTGATAAAAAAGCTTCATAATCCAGTGAGGCGTAATTCGATATTTCCAAAATGAAGCCGTTTTGGCATTTACGAGTTTTTTCTGGCCAAGCCTCTTGTGTCTCAGCTGTTAATAATATCTCGCTCTTCCATTAAAGTGACGAACGGTTTTGTTATCGTTTAAGTAGTAAACCGTCTCCTTATATTTTTAGGATCGATGAAAAAAAAAGTCCAATAAACAATTGGCTCTGAGAAAGGACCAATATTTGTGCCACCAAGAATTCTTGGCATTCATGATTCTTTTAGAAAAAACAAACTGGCCTTTTTAGTGGTTCGGAATTTTCTGATATGGAATTGCTCGTGATATTAAATGAGAAATGTTTCAGTTCTTTTTTTTTTGCCCTAGGGTATATTTAACAAACCCCACCAGCAAGGGTTTAATATTTGTGAGATGAGATACTGAGGGTAAACATCACAGGCACACGCTCACATATACGTACAAGCACACACTAACGCACACTCGTATACATGATACTGACACGATTTTCCGTCTTTCAAATATTGAAACGTTGCACTCACACATATACCACACATACGTACCCATAAATATATAAACTATATTTGTCCATTACCTTTCTCAAAGCCCAAATCATTAAAAACACACACGCATTCGCACGCACAAACATATTATATATATATATATATATATATATATATATATTGATGCATGTTTCATTAAATAATATAGACAAGTTTTGTCTATTTATTTTAAGTGAGTTCCTTTCATATTGTCTGATAAGCTTAATAACATTATCATTGAAAGACGAAAGGAAATCACCATTTTAATACATGCTTAAATCCGATCTAAGCTTTCGGCTTACATAAGCCATTATCAAAGATGACAATTACATTTCAATATATCAACCAATACACGGACGAAGCGATAATGATAGTCTGTTTTTGTTGCATGAAAAATTTCAAAGCAACGACTAACTCGTATATACGAGACGCGGAAGCGAAAATCGCGTCGCAGCTCGTGACGTCACACATGACTACGTGAGAGTGAAAACGAGAAGTATTAAGTATGAGAAGCTGTTGGTATAAATCAGTGGCTTCTGTTATCAATTATAGGCATTTAAGAATAATTGTGGAGATTTCGTAGTTTATTTTTTTTATGGTAGGTTTCAACTGTTTTATGTATAAATCTTCAAGAATATATATATATATATATATATATATATATATATATATATATATATATATCTGTGTGTGTTTTTCTCCAAGGATTTTTCGGAATTGTGTACGCGGCCAGGCATGTTGTTTTAAATGCCTAAAAATGTTAGAGCTATCGTTCAAATGTAGAGTCAAGCGTCGTGAAAGAGTCTTTGTGGTGTGGCCAACATAAATATTATCTAATCCATTGGAGATACAATCTCCCAAAGGGCACTTGATTTTGTAAACATACACGATATATATATATATATATATATATATATATATATATATATATATATATATATATGACGCGCGATTGTCATGGTGGAAATTAATGACAACAGCTTTTTACTGCTACTTTCAGGGATTGTAATTTATTCATGCGAGAATGGCTTGCCGAAGTGCTTACTCACTCACCTTTCAAGCATCGGGACATGAAACGAAGATAGTCAAGACATCTGGCGAGTTGTCAGCACATTTGGGAATGTGGTTTCACAATATTGCCAATGGTGTCTATGCGAAATGAACAAGCATCCCACACATACGCCAGAGAAATATTTCATTCTCCTCTCCCGTGAGGATGTCGATGTGTGTGCGGGTGTGTGCGCGCGCGTGCGTTCGCGTGTGTGTGTTTGTGTTTGTATTGAAAGTTGGGATATTATAATGGCGTTTCATGCAGAATATCTTTTAACATACTATTAATTAGGTACCTCCATAGATTCGCTAAAAAATGAGCATACCATGATGAAAAAATGTTCCCAAAATTAATAAAAACAAAGCTTTATCCTCAAAATCTTCATGTTATTATTAAGAGAAAGACAAAATTACTTTTTGATTATTAAATTATAATTTTTTGATTCTTTTTAGAAGGTTCGAAATTTTGATTAAAAATCCTGTTTTTCTTGCTCCAGAGGGCGACGGAACCAAATTTTAGCCTTTTTTTTTTTTTTTTTTTTTTGTGAAAACACATTGTTTTGGAAATTTTTGCAAAAACAAATAATTGTCGGAGTTTATTGAATCTTTTAAAACTTATTCACAAAGGAAGGAAATTACATTAGAAATGTTTTCTTTTTCGGAAATTTTGGTAAAAACTTTTTTATATCTGTTACCCTCCACTTTTTTAATTTTATGAAATTTCGAGAAATTATTTTTGTTCCACTTAATGCTTATTTTGATTATTTGCAGAACTCGTTGGAAAATTTAAATCATCAACTTTTTTTTTTTAATATCTGTCCATATCGCTGAGATGACGTATTATGATTACTTGTATTATAATCTTCATTGTCATATTCATAAGGTATTCGGCCGTTGTACGCTCCGGCTTTCTTCAGGTGATTGGAATTTCGAACCGAACCCTTTAATTTACCCACCGGGGTAGATTGTTCTAATTCCACGTGCCATGTTTCTCTTGGATGTCTCAGTTGTTTCCCTTTAACTCAACTCTCTAAGTTTTTGGTTCATCATTGCTGTAGCCTGGTATTGAACTCACAACTCTTTGAGACTAGGACACGTGGCCCATTGGATAAAGACGTTGGTTAGATCCAGTGTCAAGACCCAAAGTGTTGTGAGTTCAATACCACTCCCCCAACTCAAATAAAATGATGCAATGTCCATTTTAAAAGACCCTTCCCAACAATACACTTTGAAAGATTTAAGTTTCTTCTCTCCATCACCAAATCCATCACGATCTGAGTTCGTTCCGGCACAACAAACATTTGTTCTTTGAAACCACCAGATAAAATCCGCTTGTTTTAAATGTATTTTGTTAACTGCAATCCCTTTTTTGAATGTTCGTTTTTGGATATTTTTTCTGTTTTTCTCTCACCTTACTTTGTATATTTAACTTAATTCTTTGTTTTAAACTTTCTGTTAATATTAACTGTTATCTTCCAATCGTATACACACAGATGGAGTCCAAACGTAACCCTCTAACACGAGTGGCCCACAGGCTTTGAAAATAGTAAACCTTTTTGTAAAAAACAAAAAACTTGTTACCGAAAATTTGCTCTGAATCATAAAACAAAAATACAATAAAACTAAGACAATATTTAATTAGAAATGCTTTTAATTTCTTTTATGAATGACATATATTATGGACAATATTGTCTCATGAAAAACATTTTTTGATGAATAATGAATTTTTACAAGGAATGTTTTCACTTTTTGAAAATTTTAATTAGAATAATTTAAAGTTTTAACTCTGTATAAACATGTACCGGTTAGGTGATGATATTATTAAAAAAAAACTATATTTACTAATCCTAAATGGAAAAGTTTCCTACAATTCAGCGACCTCCAATATTTTCAAAATAATTTTGATTTTGTATGTGTATAAACGTGCCGATTTTTGTAAGTACGGATGTCCAGATAGGACATTACCAGAAAATAAGAGTAGTAACTATAGTACATTTAAAATGCAAGTGTGTAAAATTCAATAAACATTAGATTAAGGAGAATATTTTCCAAAATTTTAAAGATTACTGGGTAGTTCAATATTATAAAAAACCATTAAATTCCACAAGCAATTTTCCAGATATGTTCATAGTAGAAAAAATTATATAAACATCCATATGTTTGGCAAGCTGTTAACACCTTAAGTCAACACCCACCTACGCGTTAAAAATGCATTTCTGCAATATTTTAAACTAAAAGTAACTAATATTTGTTTCACATCAAATTAATTAAACTTTAAGTAAACTAATGTTCCTCAAATAAAATTTTAGAAAAGTATATTTTATCTTTAATAGAGAGAATTTCATTGTGTCGACAGATGGCTAAAAATGGTGCTAAAATCAGTGATTTTTAGTGTTTTCAAAACAAAAACTCCTTCCATTTAATTCAAATTCAGACATGAAGTGGAAAGATTATATTGAATCAATTGCTAGGACTACAGCTATGAAATTTAATACCCTGTGTTTTGCTAGACGTTTTTTTTTCTCGAACAAAAAATATCTTACATATTTATAAGTCTACCATTCGTCCTTGCTTTGAATATTGCTGCCACATCTGGTCTACTGCTCCTGTTTTGTATTTAGAGATGTTTAGACAAAATCCAAAGAAACATCTGCAATGTTATTGATCTAGACCTGGCATCTCAGTCACACCCCCACCGCCCTAACTTAGCTTCCCTCTGCCTTTTCTATAAAAATCTTGTTCTGTTTGATGTATTACTCAAAATAAATATTACTTTCCTCGAGTACCTAGACTATGAATTTAAGCGCAGTGCTAGATTGGCAATAAGGTCTCATCATTTTAAAGTTGAAATGGTTAAATGTAACCGCAAGTTCTATGCTAACAGTTTCTTCTATCGCACTTGTGGAACTCTCTTCCGGCTTCTTCCTTCTTAGTCAACTTTGAATTTCAAAATGTAAATGCAGTTCTTGTTCTTTTCTTGTTCTCAATCTTTAATAGTTTTTTTCTCATATTCTCTATATTTTTGATAAGATCCTTTCATATTCCCGAATAAGCTTTTCCGGTGGTTAAAAGACGAGATGAAAACACCGTGTTCGTTCATATTGTATTTATTGCGAGTACTTTCGACATAGCATAATGTCATCATCAGGACATTGTTAAATATAGAGTACAGTGGAGTATTTGAAAAATTCAAGTAAAAGAACTCAAAACAAACAGAATATATCTAAATAAAAATTAGAGCCACACCATCTTAAATAAATCAACCTGTTTTGCGTCCATTGTTAAGGTCAACGTGAGATTTTTTTTCTTGAATAATGCAGAATAGTATTGCAGTGC